ATAATTTAGGTGGTCGGGGGACAGACACCGTTTGTATAAAACTATGAAAACTATGGCTGGGTAACTGAACTAGAAGCTCAGAGAGGCGTTTAGGACTGCAACTCTCTGTCCTGGTCTCAACTCTGGGTTGTCAGGGATTTAAATTACTAATAAAATTTGCCAGGTTCCTAGAAATGAGAGCAGCTCCATCCAAAGTGGGGTGAATGCCGTCTCTCCTAATAAGACCAGGTTTTCCCCAGAAAGTTTGCCAATTATTAACAAAACCCACATCGTTTGCTGGACACCACCTGGACAGCCAGCGGTTAAATGATGACATGCGGCTAAACATGTCATCACTGGTCAGATTTGGGAGGGGTCCAGAGAAAACTACGGAGTCCGACATCGTTTTTGCATATTCACACACCGAGGCAATATTAATTTTAGTGACCTCCGATTGGCGTAACCGGGTGTCATTGCCGCCGACGTGAATAACAATCTTACTGAATCTACGTTTAGCTTTAGCCAGCAGTTTTAAATTAGATTCAATGTCACCCGCTCTGGCCCCAGGGATACATTTGACTATGGCCACTGGTGTTGCTAACTTCACGTTTCTCAGAATAGAGCTGCCAATAACCAGAGTTTTATCCTCAGCGGGTGTGTCACTGAGTGGGGAAAAGTGTTTGGAAACGTGAACAGGCTGGTGGTGAGCCGTGGGTTTCGGCTTGGAGCTGTGCTTCTGGCGAACCGTAACCCAACCTCCGGGCTGAACGTGAGTTACTGGATGACAGTTAGTAGAGGCTAAGGCTGTGCTATGTGGCTCCACACCGGCTACAGGGGGCTGGCTAACTACCACAGCTACTGAATGGTTTTCCATGGTGCGGAGCCGCGCTTCTAATTCACTAAGCCTCGCCTCCAACGCAGCAAATAAGCTACACTTATTACAATTACCACTGTCGCTAAACACCGGAAATGACACAACTCGCTTACCGCAATACGTCAGCATGTCCACACAATCCAATGGTTTCTATATTTTTTAAAAGTTTTCTTACACTCCTTAAAATCTAGAAGGCCTTTGACTTCCTCTGACTCTTTGGTGACCCTTAGTGGGGGTCAGGACCCTCATGTTGGAAACCACTGATTTTGATGAGACTATGGAGACTGGAGGCATGAAACGGTTTTATTTATTAATTTATTTCTAAAAACCTTTTTCTTTTTGTCTTCTGCCTCCCCTCAGACCGTCTGCAGGCTTCCTCCTGGATCAAACCCTGCCCGGATGATCAGGTCCTCAGTGTCCAACTGCAACAGACTGACCGTGTGGATGACACGGACAGCACTGCCTCGGCTGCTCACATTAAAACTGAAGTTGGTGGTGAGTGTGGAGTGTCTGAACCAAATGGTGACTTTGATCCAGCTGGTGGTTCAAAGGCTGTGAGTGATGGCGGATTCCTCGCCGAGTCCTCTGAGACAGAAGACAGCGGAGACCACTGGAGCAAGGCTGTAGGACTCTGGAGATCGGAGGAGATGGCAGCAGCAGAGGGACAAAGTTCATCTGACAGAAGGAAGGTGAGGAGCTCCTCTGATGCGTCACCTCAGCCTGCGCCGGCGTTCGGCTGTAAAGTTTGTGGTGAGTCCTTCCAGAGTATCAGTTATCTGCTCACTCATGCTGCAGCACATTTGAGAGACTGCAGCCTGTGCGGGAAGCGTCTGGAGCACACTGAGAACCTAAAGCTTCACCTCAGAGTCCACAGAGAGACGTCATTCCGCTGCGGCATCTGCGGTCAGAGCTTTACCCTGCGGGGTAACCTGAGAACTCATATGAGGATCCACTCGGGTGAGCGGCCATACGGATGCACTGTCTGTGGCAAGAGCTTTGGCAGGAGGGCAACACTGGTGCGGCACGTCCGCAGCCACACAGGTGAGAAGCCGTTCACCTGCACATTCTGCGGCCACAGCTTCGTGGAGAAGGGCAACCTGACGGTGCATCTGCGGACGCACACTGGCGAGAGGCCATACTGGTGTTCCATTTGCGACAGACGCTTCAGCCAGCTGTCCTGCTTCTACAAACACCCATGTCAGAGGAGAGGCCTGACCACAGTGCCCGTCAATTCCACCTGACTGCCTGAAGACAAGGACAGAGATTCTGAAGCATTTCAACTCTTAGTTCCTTCTTGAGCTGTGGCAATGACTTGGGTTTTTCATGTTTCAGAGCTGCTCAGGGTCTTTTCTGTATAATGGAAAAGACCTTTTCGACTGCAGGGTCAAAGCACAACCTTTACCCTAACATATATCAGTTGCCATGGGCTCTGCTTTTGTCCCAAGTGGCAACCTCTGAGGCTGAAAAATGAAGCCAACGCGGAAGTGCCAAAAACTGCAGTTCCTTTCATGGCCACTTGAGGCTGGCTCCAGAAGCCAGTGCTAAAATGGCCAACTCAACAGCAGAAATAAACATGTTTACAGCCTGGTACAAAAACAGTCTTGGTCACTTTAGCTAATTTAAACATTCATGACAACTGTGCAGGAGCTGAATTTATATATAACTGACACATTTAAATGTTATGAAGGCTTAAAATTATGCATTATTAAGGGCGTGGCAACTTTGAATGACAGGCTGTGAAGCGTTGTTGCATTGTATGAGTCAGATCCACCCCTCGCTCCTTCACAGCTCACCCTCTCATTATGTCCTGCTCCAAAAATCCAAGATGGTGACGGCCAAACTTCCAAACTTGATATTTCAAAACAGTTTGAATCCAAATTCAATTCAATTCAGTTTTATTTATAAAGCCCAATATCACAAATCCCAATTTGCCTCAGAGGGCTTTAAAGCATACGGCATCCCTCTGTCCTTTGGTCCTTCACAGCGAATAAGTAAAAGCTCAAAAAAATAAAATTAAAAAAATAAAAACCTTTAACGGGGAAAAAAATGGTAGAAACCTCAGGAGGAGCAACTGAGGAGGGATCCCTCTTACAGGATGGACGGACGTGCAGACAAATGTCATGTGTACAGAACAGATCAACATAATAAATTTGCAGTAATCCATATCACAAAATGATACATAAAGAGAGACAGAGAGAGAAATTGAGTCAGAGAGAGATGCAGGGCAGACAGTAATGACTAATATAGTAATATAGTATATTTATAATAACCTCCTGAGACCCGGAAGAAAAAAGGTTTTGATATTTAGATTTTTCTTAGATAGTTTAAGTATTGTAGTTGAAAGAAACATGTTACAGCAAAAAAAAACAAACATGAATGTTATTTATTTATTTTTTATCAAATGTCCCTTACAGTGAACATCGGGTCTTGCTTGGTGTAAAATTTTGTTTTTTTCTAACAGATAAATTACATTTCTTTTCATTTCCTGTACACTTAAAACAGATTAATCCAATTTCTTTTCATTTCATGAGCATTTAAAATAGTTAAATGCATCCAATAAAAAATGTTTAAAAAAAACAGTTAGATGAAGGAAACACATCTTAACACTAAAACATCATTTTAAGAAGTTACATCTCATTGTGGAGCTTTTTAAGTAAACTGCATTCTGCACACTTGATAGTCACCTAAAGCTGGGTTTAGGTCACATCACACACAGCACTAACAACAGATCAATCAATTTCAATCAATTTTATTTATAAAGCCCAATATCACAAATCACAATTTGTCTCACAGCGCTTTACAGCATACGACATCCCTCTGTCCTTAGGACCCTCACAGCTGATCAGGAAAAACTCACCCAAAAAAACCCTTTAATGCGGGGAAAAAAACGGTAGAAACAGATCATGCATGGTATAACAGGAAGCAGTTTTTTGTCTTTGAAACACACAAAAACATGTTACATTTGATACACTTCACAATTTTGGAAGTATGGAAATTGGTTAAAAACAGAAGTTAGCAAGTCCCGCTGTCCCCTACAAAGGACATTGAATAAAAGTTGTGTTTTGACAGGGTTGAAAATATTGTACATTTCTGAAATCTTACTAAATTGAAGTTAAGACTTTTATATTGAAGAAAAAATTTGATTATTAGCAACAGAAACATGATATCTGCAAAAAATTGATCACTTTCCTCCCTTGATGCCATAAAATGTGGAAGCTGTGATTCCTGCCATTTTGAAAAGAGGGTGCATGTGCTCTCTTAGCCACACCCCCCCAACTGTGGCATCATTAGAAAGCCCAGGATGTCCTCTTGACAGTACGGTGGGACTCAAATAGATTGCATAAATGATGTTTAACTTAGAGGTCTCAGACTCATGTCCCCCACAGAGGACGAAAATGAATTGCCGGGTCTTAGGAGGATATAGTAATAATTACAATAACATTAATTTTAGTTATCATATGATAACAATGATAACAGTACTTGTGGTAGCATATGTTGTAAGTAGCTATATATTAATATATGATAGTATGTTTGTTTAATATGGGAGGTAAAAGTCAAATCTTTAAATGTTCAAATATTACTCCAAGGTTTCTTATGATAGTGCTAGAGGCCAGAGTAATGCCATCCAGAGAAACTATATATTCAGATAGAGAGAGTAGAGGACATCTCTCTTCATTTGATAACAATAAAGGTTATCAATATAAAAGAGGGGGCGAGCGAGAAGAGAGCACGAGCAAGCAACAGAAAACAGTGCTGGTGAGGCGAGACAGCACTGCAAAGCTGGAATGAGAGGAATACAAAGTTGTTTTTTGATTGTTTTATGGCGGTTACAAAATACCATGAAGAAAGATACTATTAGTTTCTGTTTAATTTTCCTCTGCATTTGTCTTTGTCTTGGGGCGGCAGTAGCTTAGTCCATAGGGACTTGGGTTGGGAACCGCAGGGTCGCCTGTTCAAGTCCCCGTCCGGACCAAAATATGGAGCGTGGACTGGTAGCTGGAGAGGTGCCAGTTCACCTCCTGGGCACTGCTGAGGTGCCCCTGAGCAAGGCACCGAACCCCCAACCGCTCGTAGCGCCTGTCATGGGCAGCCCACTCTGACATCTCTCCACTTAGTGCATGTATAGGTCCAGTTTGTGCGTGTGTGTTCGGACCTGTGTGTAATTGACAGAGTAAAAAATTGAATTTCCCCTCGGGGATTAATAAAGCATATAAAATTTAAAAAAACATAAAAAAATTAAAATTAAATTCTCATGTAACTGTTAATCTAACTGGTGGATGCATTGCTGTGGTCGGGCGGGGGCTTCAGGGCAGGGGCTTCAGGGCTCTTCTTACTAAGTTAACCATGTCTTCACCTACGTATGCAGTGGACATGTAACGTGTATATGATTATGGTATACCCAGTGAACACCAACCAGGATCTCAGCATTAAATTCTATTTGAAAACAGGGTGATAATTTGCCTAATTGAACATTGAGGACCTCTTTTCACCCTCCTTTCAACCAGCTAAATTGTGGTTACAGCATCAATATGTCAAAATTACAAATTTGTTTAATTATTTTGATCATTTGCTCAGCTGTTGGTCAAATGAAAGACAATATTGATAAATGTGCAGGTATATCAAAGTCATCTTGCACTGGTAGGTGAAATGTGGTTAAAAAGAAGACATAATTTTAACACGTGATATTTCATATAAAATGTCATAATTATGGAACTATGTTTGTTGTTATCAAATAGCACTGAGACACCACTAGTTAAAATTACAAATGACCTTTTGATTGCTTCAGACAAAGGACTTGTCTCTGTACTGTTTTATTAGATCTTAGTGCGGCGTTTGACACAATTGACCATCAAATTCTGCTACAGAGACTGGAACACTCTGTAGATGGCATTGCTCTGGCCTCTAGCACTACCGTAAGAAACCTCGGAGTAACATTTGATCAAGATTTGTCTTTTAATTCTCATTTAAAACAAACCTCACGGACTGCATTTTTTCATCTGCGTAATATTGCGAAAATTAGGCCTATCCTGACTCGAAAAGATGCAGAAAAATTGGTCCACGCTTTTGTTACCTCTAGGCTGGATTACTGTAACTCTCTATTATCAGGTAGCTCTA